AGGTGGGGCAAGGAGGGAAGTGAAGAACAAAGGTGAGGTGATGGGAGTCGGGGTGGGAATGGAGGGTGATTTGGGTAATTACCTTCTACAGAGCCCTACTGGGTGCAGGCTCTGGGCTCTGAGCTCTGAGGGAACAGCTGTGAACTAGACCAACAAACAATGGGGGAGGGCAGAAAACAAACAAGTTGACAAGTTCTGTGAAGGGTGAGAAGTGCTACGGAGCATGGTAAAGAGTGGCGGATGCTGACTGGGAAGGGTTTGGATCTTGTACACGGGGAGGGGTGTGTCAGAGGAAGTTTGAGCAAAGGCCTGAAGGAGGGGAGGGGAGAACCATGAGGTCACTTCATGTTTCCATAAGAAACTGTTTATCAGCATGCAAATCATAAGACCCTTCCCATTGTCCCAGATAGTAAGTAACTTAAAAACAAACATTGATAGAAGGAAAATCAAAGCAGGTATCTGAATTCTTGCTGGGCGTGGTGACCCACTAAGCCTCAGGGCCACGGAGGTGCTATAGATACCTTAGGACCCAACAGAGACTTTCCCCTTGGACTTATGACCGGGACCCAGGGTCCAGGCCACCTCCCTATGGATTTGTGTGAGTTGCCTGGACCTCGCTCTTCTCATCTATAAAATGGGACTCCCAACTGCCCCTGCTTTACAGGATTGTTTAGAGGAGTGAGTTAAAATAAGCAAGGCACTTAGAATTGGGCCCTACGCAGATTCAGGGCTTTATCAATAACAGTAGTGCTTTTGATTTTTTTTTTTTTTTAATTAGATGATGTGAGAGACAAGCCAGTCATGTGACTTATTCAAAAAGGAAACAATGTTCCTATCATATGATTCTCTGTTGACTACTGCAATCCCCATGCACCCCTGTTGTCCACCAGGGACACGCTGCTGTACAAACCCCCACTTAGGGACCAAGCAGCCCCTCCACACCATCTCTCCTCTTGGTGCCTGCCTTGCATCCACGGACAGCCCTTAGCCCTCCCCTAGTTCCTATTTGGAGGTGGGGGTCTCTGTGCCTCAGGGAGCTCTGGCGGCACAGTGGTTAAAACATTTGGCTGCGAAAAAAATGTCAAACCCACCAGCCACCCCGTGGGAAAAAGATGAGGCAGTCTGTTTCTGTAAAGATTACAGCGTTGGAAACCCTGTGGAGCAGCAACTCTATGGCAGTGGGTTTTGGGGTTTTTTCTGTGCCTCAGTTTCCTCGTCTGGCAAACGAAGGGAGGAGGTACTTTTAACTCAGATGACAACTCAAGGCTTTAAGCACAGGGCAGGGAGCTGGGAGGTATTTCTGACGTGGCTCCTGCCCAGCCTAAACCCCCTAATGGCCCACCCCACCAAGGAGAACAGCCAAGCCCGCGCTGAGCTCGGAGTTTGCCAGGCGCTCAAATGGCGGAACCGCAGGCAGAGGATTTGAAAGCAGGTTGCCGTCCCGGGCTGAGTCTAGGTTGCAGCCCATCGTGTGAGTGAGTGTGTTATGAGTGTATGTGTGTGAGTGTGTAGCGCCCCTGGGCTGTGTTTTCACTGCACTTTCCTGCCGGCTGCCAGCTGCTCCACCAGTTCCGGGGAGGGCCCTGGGCCACCCCCTCTTCATAAAGACCCGGCCACCGCGGCCACACAGTTGTCCAGCCTCCGGGAAACAGGCCGGCCCTGCCCCAGCCGCTTCCCCGCGGACCATGGGAGGCCCCCGCCGCGTCGTCTTTCTGGGTGAGAACTCCGGGCCCCACCGGGAGGGGCGTGGGACCCGCTCGACCGAGGAGGAACGGGAGGCAGCCTGGCGGCTCCGGGGCCACGGAGGAAGCCACATGCGCAGGCGGACCGCGGGCACATGGGGAGCGGCGCTGGTAGTGCCCGGGCACCCAGGCTGCTCTTCAGAGCTCGCTCCCTTTCTTACTAGGGTCTTAGGGCTCTCTACTGGGGCCACTTTGGAGGCTAAGAGGGGAAACTGAGGCAAAGGAGGGGGGGGGGAAACTGGAGCAAAGAGTGAGTGCCAGGACTCCGCAGGCAGCTGCTTTTAATATAGGGGTTGCTGGGAAGGGAGATGGGACCCCTCCACAGCTACG